AGAGAGTACGAGACAATTTTATACATTCATCCCGGAGTCTCTTAAACTCTACATAGTCTTTAAGTAGTCTTGAATATTTTTACGTCTAATGTACTGCTCTCTTTGCAGTGATCCAAACAAACATTGCATGAGTGAACCACGCTGAGGACTTAAAGCTAACAGATCGACATACTGGTGTAATTTAAAATTCACCATACAATCTAGGATGATGCATAAAGTCACGATAGGTTGTACTTTATTTATTTGGTTCGAGCAGCTGTTGAAGATCCAGGGCGAAAATGATGCGTAATAGAAGGGAGACAGCAAGGCAACGTGACAGTAAGGTGCGATGTATTGTTTGTAAATGATCATTTTCCGAACAATTATGCTCCCGAATAAAAACTTTTTTTCCATGAGTAAACTATAATTCAAAAAGATTCGTGAAAATAAATTATGTAACAAAGTTATATTTAAGAAACATAATCAAGCAATCGTTCGTCAGTAAAGTTGGATTTGAAGTCTTCATTAATATTATGCAACGGTTCCTGAAAAAACAAGTCATTTTTGCTTTGATCCTTTTTTTACCGACCACCCAAGCCTAATGTTTCGTAACTCCCAAGACGACAAATCTCGCAAAATCTATTATAACCATTCGCTAAGGTTAAAAGAACTAACAGCCGCTTGACAGTAATTCTACGTAGCAGCAAAGCATCTCGGTTAGAGTGCTTTCATGCTTTCCTTAACAGTTTATCACTAATGGAGTACATAGCAAAACGATCTAATGGTAAGTCAAGTTAGAAGAGATAATCATTCTCGAGTACTTCAACGGCATTTCTAACAACCGAGCGGTTCAAAAGCCAGTGACATCAAATGTATGGACAATTCGACTCGACAATCCTCAATACAGTTATACTGAACTGAAAGTACAACATTTTGTATTTTGCGATGAACAGATTGGCCTACATGAAAAAAAGCAACAAGAAATTCGAATATTTGAAAAGGTCGAACTACAATAATTCATTACGGCTAATTCAAAATCAGTCATTAAATTTTATAGGCCGAAAATTTGTAATGTCACGTCTTCCTGCACTATATTGTACGGCTATTAAAACAGAGATATACAGATATGTTTCCTACTTCGAAGAAAGCAAGACATAGACAATCACCACTGTAATCACATAGAAGGAACTGCTGTTGCATGGGGATCTCTCTTCCTAATTTTCCACATATGTCTAAATTAGGAAAAACCTCCACAAAGATTTATGCTGAAATCTAGCAGAATACAAAAAAGAAATTGAAAAATGGAATTGCATGGATAAAAATGATGAGAAGATCAGTACTGAAAAAGCTCTATCGAAAAACCAAGTGTGATTCCTATAGAGAAGCTCAATATTGCGAGCAGTCATGAAAAATAGTAACTAATCAACATTGCGATTATTCTTTAAGTCATAAAATAAGAACTTAAAAGTTTATATTTTGCCACTATTAGTATGGATTTTGATCAAGTGAAAACCGAATCAATTAAATAATTTTCAAGTCGTAAAGTAGAAATTCACCACTGATTTCGTAAAAAAATCTATTGAAAAATTAATAGAAGCAGGAATCTGTATCTCTCGTTTTTGTGCTTCTAATAAATTTTTCTACTTCTAAGCACCAACAAAGCTTAGCATCCCCTCCCAAAAAAAAATATCTGAAAATGTTAAAAATGTATTTTTTCTACCGAGCGCACACCAGCCTTTCAAAAACACCCGAGGTAGGAACAGTCGTTTTCCTACGAGTTTGAAAAGTCTCTGTTTGCGAACCGAGAGGTTAACGAGGTTCGTAAAGGAGACTTTTCGAACGAGTTCCGGAAAACTGCTTTTTCACCCGAGGAAGTACCAGCCTCCCAAAACCACCCGAGGGCGGAAAAAGTATTTTTTTTACTCTAAATTATCTCCATTTCATATTTTTGTATTAAAAAGATAGTTTATTATGATAATAATATTGAAATGCAAACTTGGTAGTTTGGAGAACGACTATTTATTCATAATTTATTAACATCTTTAAATATTTTGCTGTCTTGCTGACAGCCTCTTCAGGATTAAAATCATGAAGACGCTAAGATAATACGCATCATGGACACCTATTGCGCCGTATAATTCAGTCCATGTAGAGTTTGTAAATATATGGACTAAATTATGGGCGCAATAGGTGTCCCATGAATCAGTGAATATTATAGATTAGGAAAAAGCAAACTGTATTTGTACTTTTTTTTGTTCATTAAGATATAAACAACGAGAACGCGAAAGAACATTAATAGATTGCGAAGAATATCTATACTACCTACTTAGACAAAAATACATGCATTGTTTTGACAAATGTTCGTGTATATTACTTTTTCAGTCTCTCTGTCTCTTTTTAGATACCTGTTTACTGTGCTTAGTTGCGCACGTGCGCGAATTTCGTTGGTTCTTTAATAAAGATGGGTTGAGATGGAGTTTGAATAAACACAATGGCAAGACCGCGGAAAAATTTCGCATTGTGGTCAAATACTGATATTTCAAAACAATCCTGTTCGCAAAGAAGAAATTTTTGAAAAATGATAAAAAAATGATACTATTTCTTATATAAATTCATCATTTCCTACAATCGCAAAATATTAAAGAAAGCAATGAAAAAGGCCTACCTGTATGAGTATAATAGAGAAAGAGAGAATGAGCGCGACAGCAGACGATCAATGGCTCTCTCTATCTCACTTACTTTTACAGGTACTGTCAAAATGCCTTTTTTAATTTTTTTTCCCAAGATTTTGCGCTTGTCAAAACAAAATTAAAAGTTTTTATTTTTTCTGTACATCAAACCGTTAAAAGATATAAGCAAAACGAACTTGAAACACAATTTTACATAATTTTAAAATTATCAGACCACCCAAAAATAATCATAACTATTTCTTTTGAAATCTGTAGGATTCAATTATACATAACATAAAAAATGCCCAATTATCAATCAATTTTTAACTCACAAGTTTCTCAGTTGGTATCCATAAGTAATAAGAACAGAGATTAGATCAGCATGCTGCGTAGCACAATCAATAAGGTCCCTGACTGCCAATCCAAAGGATGTGGGTTCGAGTTTCGGAGTCAGTAAAATATAAGAATTTTATTTATACACATATAATATATATGCGTACGTATGTGTACACTATATAAGTATATACATGATATGATATTTAATTATTACATACTATTCTATATAGCTATGTATACGGGTAGTGCACTTTAAAAACGATAGAAGGGCGGCAGTAAGCGCGCGGAGAAAGAGACAGAGAGCCAAGCCGAGTTAAACCGAAGATCGGATCGCTTCATCACGTTGGTCGAATCCCCAAGCACACCAATAGATGTTTCAAGTCAAAAAAAGGCGTAGTCTCCGTCCAGGACCAAAAAAAAAGGTATAGTTTTCGTCCGGACGAGAAAAAAGGGCATAATTTTTGTCCAAACTCTGGGAAAGGGCATAGTCTTCGTCTGGGCTCGAAAAAAGGGGCATAGTCTTCGCCCGAGATATCGAAAGGGCATAGTTTTCGTCCAGGATCAATTAGGGCATAGACTTCGTCCAGAGCGTCGATATGTGTCATCCAAACAGAGCTACTCTTTCATTCCTCGGGCTGAAAAATAGCATTTGTAATAATGGCGCTTCTGTGACGAAAACTACTACTTTTATCCTAGGGTTCACAGCTTTACATCCTAGGGAAACCGATGTTCTAGATTCTAAGTACTTTTCCTCACTTAAGGCATTTTTTAAAACTTTGAATTTTGCTGCAACCTTTGTCGGAAAAACAGAGTTCAGATCTGATGCGAATCTTACCAGGACAAGCACTAAGAGTCTCTTGTTAAATAATCGTTTTATTCGAACTTTTTATGTTAACAATAGTAGTTTTGGTGGTAGGAAAAAATTGTACTTTCTATTACGAGGAGTTTATCGTGACATTTGGGCGTTTACAGCGCCTTAGATAGAAAAAAAAGTATTTACTACACAATCGCCATTCAACCAGGACTACCATGACGATGGCGCTTCTATGATGAAAACTACTGATAACTGACTCTTTTGTATCTATTACCTCAATAATAAGATCCCGTAATTTCAGAGCAAGACAGGCTTAATAATAATGCTGAGTGCTGTCAATCTGCACTACACCAACACACAGCACTGATACATTTCTGGGTTCAAAATACTTTCCCTAGGGCAAAAAGTGCGCCCAAGAGCGCAAATCAGACTTGACACCTTAGTAAACAAAAATGTCTTTCGGAACTTGGACGTAAACGTATTGGTACTTTCTACGTGCTGAAGTTGTACTTTGTGCCTATAATACAAAAACTAATATTCTTGTAGTCTCGTTTTGCAAAGCTCTTTTTTGCCACATAATCAAAACTGAGTAATTACTTTAGAGTCAATTGACTTTAAAGAACACTTATTTTTTGCCTTGTAACTCGAAAGAGTATTATTTGTATTAAGTCTAGTCATTCATATTATAACCTAATTCTGGAACTGAATAACATAGTGATATAACATTAACAGTAATTATACAGAAAAAAATCTTAAGCTAGTAACTATAGCTTTGTATTACTGTGTCACAGCTGATAGCACTATCTTTATCAAATAATGTATTTAGTGATTTAAACTTCAGATAGAGAATTTTTGAAAATTCAAAGAGAAAATTATTTTGAATGATCTTAATGAAAAAATATTTTTGATGACATTCGACAAATTTTTTATTTTACTTGACAAATGAAGTTGTTTCCATTGAAAAAGTAATACCAATTTTTTGTGCATTGTTTTGTCTATATTTTATGTATCAATAACTTGTCAGTGCCGATAGCTGTAGTTAATTAGAATGTTCTAGATGGTACTAAAATTACGATAGTAAATGAGTGAAAATAGGCCATTAAATTATTTGGTTATCCTGCGAAAAAAACAAAATTAAAAGGTATTTAGGGACGATTAAAAGAATGCATATTTTTTATTTTAAAAAGTCTAGTTATTTAATTAAGAACAAATTGTATACTGTGGAAAAACATCTTATGATAAAATAATTTTATGCTAAAAAAACTGAAGTGATAAAAAATAGAAATCCTAATTTTTTTGCGGCGTATGTTTTTTTTATATTATTGAGAAGTGCTATCCGAAATACTTTGCCTCCATGTAGCGTAAAATGGAATTTTTAAAATTTTAACACGAGTCTTCGGCAAAGCAGTTAAGAGAAGCTTCTGTAAATGAGGTAATGGTAGAATTTCTACTTGTGGATTGCTTGAACTGGATTTTTCTTCATAACCTACAAAAACATAGAAATTTAACTATTAAAGATATATATTTAAAAAAAATATTTTATTACAAACCTTTGGAGCAATTTCTTTCTCCTACCAAATCCTCTATCAATTCTAAACAAGGGACAGGCTTTAGTACTGGTATTGAGTCTCCTGTGATTTGTTTGCTCATTTGGTTACATTGATCTACGAATAGTAATGTTACTTTCAATAGTTCTTGCGTAACGCCCCAAACAAAATGTGTTAAGTTATTCGACAATTGCGTTACACCTCCAAGAATCATGTTATTAGACGTTGCTGATTGAGATACATACGTAGGTATTATAAGAAGTCTCTTAAGATTCTTACAAGCGGCTAAGTATTTATCAAACCCATTTTTGACATCAAAATTCACTAGTTCCAATTGAGTGAGATTTTGCATCTTAGAAATACCTTCAAGAATATCAAATGTACAGCAAGTTCCTTGACCTTTTTCAAGTCGCAACTTTTCTAGTTTCTTTAACTTTGTTAATACGATAGTTCCAAACTGATCAGAAAAATCTGAGCATTCCCCAAGTTCTAATGCTTCAAGCCTTTGGAGTGATTGTAGGACATCAATTTTTTTTCTACCCAAATCTTTTACAGATGTTAAACTCTGGAAATAGAAAAATAATAAAATACTTAAAACTTGCCTTCAGCTAAATAAAAACAAAATATTCAAATTTTTTAACCTGAATAATTATACACACTTCAATTCTTATTTATTTATTATGTATTGAGTTGTGATCATTGTTAAATTATTAATAAACCGAAAAGCTAAAAATTTTTTTGTTAAAACACAAATTTTCACAAATTAACTTGCCAGTACATGCAGTTAATTTTATCATACTTAATACATTAACAACAGTAGAAATGTAAAAGTAATGAGCAAGCTATAGTTTAATTAAAAATGTTACAAACTGTAGTTTAATTGGAGTTGTAGTACACAGTAGTTACATATTTAAATAATGCTACAAAAATGTTTGAAACTGCTTAAAGATTTATTTTATTTTCAGATTATCATCTATCCACTGCTATGAGAGTACGCCTAATACTCAGTTTTTCTTTCTCTCAGACCGTATACCATTATTGCTGCTGCAATTCTTTTTAAATTTTTTGTTGCTATTACTTTCTTTTTTAACATAAGCTCCAGATATTACGAAGTCACTTTTTCTGTAATACATCACCTTTCCTATTGCTGACTTCGTTTTTCTACTGTTCTACTTTCATTTAAAAATAAACGTTTTATTTTTTCAGTATACTTAGAATCCAATAGTTTGTGACTTACAACCTTTTTAATAACAATTGATTGTTGTAGTTTTTACGTGATAAAAATTTATTTTTTTTAACAATTGTAAAGGAAATAATGAACACAATAACTTTCCGTTTATTATTAAAAAATCTTCACACTTTTATTTATGTAAAAATATTAACACGTAACAGCTCTTTCAGTACACTGTACCTTTCTCAGATGCAGACGATTACAAACTGAACGTATTCGACTTTACAAGTCATCCAACACATCTAACTATCTAATCATGAGCATGTAATATATAACTGGAACCGAATAAATCGGTCATGGAAACAAGAAAAAAAAATTATGAAATATAATACGTTTTAGGCAAAAGTAGGAGAAGTATAAAAGTTATCAAAAACCAAGAGCTCTCCGATTAATCATAAGGCAAAAATTGTGTCTGTAAGCGACTGAGGCCAAGCCGTAACTTTGCACCGGGGTTTAAAAGGAAAAAAGGAAACAATTTCAATAAGATATTTTAGAATTTCAAGAAGATTTAGTGGATTATTTTACTTTTATGGTAGGCAAAATTAAAAAAAAATTTTATTTGTCGGATAAAAAGATTTCAACAAGAATTTATTGTACACATATAATGTTATATCACATGCACGAATATTAATTTTAAATAGAAGGAATTTTTATCCTACGTAATGGGACAAAAATACCTTCTTTCGTCGCAATATAGTGACCAACAATTCGTACATGTATTACACACATCATAGCAAACATGAAAATACTTAGAATGCGCAAATCATAACATAAGTAGTATATAAAGGTATATGTATTCGATGCACACACGTGCTCGAATACGTGATAATATTAGAATTTTTACTATTTTAATATGGGATTCTTAAAGATCTATTGAAATTAGGTGCACGTGTTGTCACAGAAAAAAAGAGACATACTTATAAAAGATAAAGGTGTAGATAATGCGATTCCATTCTCACAACAAATTGAAAAATCGGTAGCTGGACAGGAACTGTCAAAATAAGCACCAAAAAAGTAACACTAGAAGTCCGAGACCTGGACACTAATCGTCGAGGAAGACGAAGTCAAACAGGCTTTTGTTAAGACTTTTGGACCTAATAGCCAGAAGTCTAAAGTAGCTCTTTTAAAACCAAATGAGAGAACAGAGGCTGGCGTTAATAACAGTAAACCACTATCAACTGCAAGACAAGAAGAGGTGAAGGCAGGTTAAGAGTCGGCTTCGTAAGCTGCCAAATCCGACGAAGAATTGAAGTAATGAAATGTTACAAATGCCGGGGATATGGACATGTTTCAGGCAGCTGTAATGAAGAAAATAAATCCAAGATATGCTTTCAATGTAGAAGATGCAACTATTATTTATATTAATACAAATAAGCAGACACAGTTTATCAAATGGATATTTATTAAAGGTAACTATAAGGTGATACAAATAGTAACTGTTTATCTCAGTGCGAGCACTAGGCCGGTTGGCAATACACTGTCTCGTTGCTTGGCTATCGCTCGCACGAGATTTTGACTAACTGAGTCATCGCACTATCATACAAGTAAAGGTTTTTCTATATAATCAATATTTAACACATAACAACTTTTCCGCTGCCTTAAAGATGGATACACGACGTATACCATTGAGGTGAGCGCCGTAGTGCACACTATTATAATACTTCATTCAATTATTTGATCAATGTGACGCTTATGAATTATGTTATCGTCCATTCTGATCGTAGAGGTTGAGGGCGAGTTCTGCTGAATCACTTTGGCTGCTATTCTCTTGCTACTTCTAACCCCGTAGTTGTCATCATAACGTCAGTTCCTACTGCTACATTTACTTTACGTTTGCCAGCGTGATTAGAGATTTGACAACGTTGTTTAACGTCAACTTCTGAAACTTAGTTAGGCCTCAATACGTCCAAATGCGTTTTTAATTCCTGCCCAAGCATAATATAAGCCGGGCTTCAGCGCGTGGTACAATTTTCTATGCTACGGTAGTCGAATAAAAACATATTTATCGCCATTTCTAACTTCACACCCCCTTGAACTATTTTTTCGACCTTATTCTTAAACGTCTGCACAAAATTCTGAGCTACTCCATTAGTCGCTGGATGGTATGAAGGGGAGTGTAATGTATGTAGTCTGGCGACAATAATGAGAATAGGCACTAGGTATATGATAAGATATTTATTCAGTCAAGTTACATGAGAGCCGGCGGATCGAGATGTACACGCTTGGCGATTCACGCTAATCTGATATAGCCGCGCTGATCCATACAACTATATATGATTATCGCTGGTGGCCAGCGGCGGTGCACACGCGCCGTGTATGCTAGGTTGATATACATATAGATATGCGAGCATACGTAACAGGGAGTATGAGTATTTCACTTCGTTTTTCTCTAGAAATACGTTAAAATCTTAACTTTTGAATTGCGAACCTCCATCCGTAACGCAGTGCAATGACAAATCAAAACGTGTTAATAATTTTTCAAACTCTTCGACCACTCTGTAGGCCTTCATGTTGTTTTTCAAATGAATTATTTCCAGCCACTTAGTGAGCAGCAATTACAATCAAGAACATATTACGATGGAATGGCCCTGCGAAATCACAATGAATGCGGACCCATGGGCGTGTCGGCCAGGGCTATGTAGTCAATGGCATGTGTAGTGGTCTTTTGTGCTCTATAGTACATGTCTTACATGCTCTTACAAGTGATTCTATATCGTAATCGATTCCTGGCCACCACACTCTTGATCACGCATTTTAATTTTTACTACCCCTAGGTGGTTAGAATGAAGTTCTCTAAGTATTAAGGGTTGCATGCTTCTCGGAAGAACAGCTTTAAAACCTCAAAACATGCATCCCTTTTCAACCGACAGTTCTAATTTTTTTTAAATATATTTTTGTTCTTCATCTACTAAGTCTTTATTACTTGGCCATTCGCTTAACACATACCTCATTATCTGAACCATCGTTAAGTCTTTTTTCGTTTATGCCGCTAGTATTTATTGATTGTATTTCTTTATAGAAAAATTCAATATAGCTAAAATCGGTATTTAATTTTAACAACATGATTTCGCTTGCCTTGCTATCTATCGGAAGTCTAGATAATGGATCGCAGTTTGCGTTTTGTTCCGATTTCACATGTTCTATAGTATATCTAAATCCCGCCAAATAATATGACCAACGCTGCAACCGGTTATCTGCCGTGATAGGTATTCCTTTTCGTGGACCTGAAATCAATTGCAACGTTTTATAGTCAGTTTTGAGAATAATTTCTTTTCCAAAAATAACTCGAAAGAAACGCTTGAAGCCAAAAATTGTTGCCATTGCTTCCTTTTCCAGGATTGTTCTGATGAGTTCTTTTTTCTGAATCTTTTGAGGCGCGTATGCAATTGGTTTTTCGGTCCTGTCGGGATTCCTATGTGATAGTATCGCTGATATTCCGTAATCTGACGCATCGCATGCTAATAAAATTTTCTCTTTTGTGTCATAATGTGCTAGTATGGCGATATCACTTCATTTTTTCACACAATCCCGATTCCAATTAAACTCTGTCCAATTCAATAAAGCATATAACGGCATTAATTTTTCAGCTCTAATTTCCAAAAATCGTGAGTAGAATGTAACTAAGCCTAAAAATGAAGCTCACTCTTTTTTATTTTTTGGCTGCGGCGCATTTATCATGGCTTCGATTTTAGACTTTGACTTGTGTAAGCCATCTTTGTCTATAACAAAATCTAACACTTCAATCTTATCTTGTAAAAGTTTATACTTTTCTTTTTTCACTCTTAATCCGCATTCTAGTAGTCTTTCGCACACTTTCTGAATGTTTGTAACGTGCTCCATCTCTGAGCTACTTAAGATATAAATAATCAATATATGCAACCGCGTTATTCCCCGTAAACATTCGTCCATTTTCCGCTGAACATCCACCGGGGCTGGTGAGACACCCTCTGGAATATTTTTGTATTTAAAAAGACCTTTGTGCATTACTATTGTAAGAAGCTGAGAACTTTCTTCGTCAATGAGGAACTGCATGTATGCGTGCATTAAGTCCAACTCGGAAAAAAGAGTGCCGTTTTGAAGGTTTAAAAAAATTTCATTTGTCATGTGCAGGGGATATTTGTTTTCAACGATATGAGGATTTAGTGTGAGCTTGAAGTCCCCACATATTCTAACGCTACCATTACTTTTAAACACCGTCACTATAGGTGTTACCCGATAGCTTATTTCTACTGGCTCTAAATGGCCCAAGCTTACTAATCAATCTAGCTCCTCTTCCATGAGAGGCTTCAACACGTGCGCTACATGCCTGCATTTTAAAGCGACGGGTCGCGCATTGTCCTTTAAATAAATTTTTGACTCACTTTCTATATATCTACCCGGCGAATTACTGAATAATGCACAATAATCATCGTAAAAGTATTTCGCCTTAGATTCGCTGTTAATTTTATTAAAGTAATCTAAATTTTCGGTTTCGAGTTTTGAATGGCCGTAATCCGAACGCATGCAACCATTATCTTCCCACTAACTCCGGTCCCTTACCCTTAGAAACAAAACATTTAAAAAATTTTTTTTTGCTATTGTACTCGACTTCAACATTTTCCAGTTTTCCTATAGACTTCAGCTCGGTACCGTCATATTCTTTTCGTTCCGTTAAGATTCAAACTTTTGAAAAATTTATCATAGCGATTCTCCAAAATAATTGTAACGTGAGTACATGTATCAATATCTAGCTTAATCGTACTACCATTTACTAGTAATGCTATAAACATAGGCCTTGACTCATTCGCATTTGTATACCTTACATACTCATCCGTATCGCTCGAGTAAATTTTAAGAAAGTCCTGCTCGTGATCAGGTGTCGGTGCTTCCTCTGCGACGTCGTCTCTCTGCATTTTTTTTACTTGCTAGAGCGATGATTCGGTCTGATTTTTCTTACACATTTTAACTAAATGTCCTCTTTTACCACATTGATGACATTCGTGGATCCTAAAACGACGTTCTTTAGCCACATGGTTTAGTTTTCCACAGCAATAACAAATGATTTCTTGCTTGACGTGTTCCTGCTGTTTGTTTTGGTGTTGATAATCTCCCTTCGCCGTACTATGTTTTTCAGAATTTCGCGTTGAATTTTCTCCGCATTCCAATTTCGTAACTTTGTTTTGGTTTGAATCTTAAACACTTCATCTTCAGCACTTTTACGCTTCAATACTGGCAACATTTTTAGAGCGTTCCTCTCTGCCGCTCCTCTTGCAACTGCTTCTTTAAATGCTGTATCGTTAGTTTATTTGTCTATGCGGAACAGTGCTGCCTTTGTATCATGATCTTTTAATCCACTTACAAATTGGTCCCTTAATACCGTTAAAATGTCAGCAAAATTACAATGGGTTACTAATCTCTTCAGCTTCGCCACGAACTCTGCTATACTTTTATAAACTTCATATTTAACTACGTTAAACTTGCACCTTTCCATAAATTCTGACGGCTTCGGGTTCAAGTGCTCATTCATAGCTTTCATTAAGTCAGACAATTTTTTCGTAGCTAATTTTTCCAGTACCACTAATTGCTTAATCAAACAAAAAGCATCTTCATCCAGCCGTGTAAGCATTTGTGCTGCTTGATTTTCTTCTTTAACGTCTTTAGCTATAAAGTATAACTCTAATCTTTCCACAAACGTTTCCCAGTTGTCCTTTTGCAAGCTAAACTCAATACGAACTCCTTCACAGGCCATATTGTCTTCAGAGTCACACCCGCTTCTGTCATCTACTTTATTTTTGTCTGAGTAACACTCGTTTTCGTCTTCTGCTTTATTTTCTTCTTCTTCTTTTAGTTCGTCTTTTACTATTTTTCTTAGTTTTTCTCGCAACGTATCAAATTTTTCACTTAACTCGCACTCACTATTCCGTGCTACTTACTCCTTACCCGTGCTACTTCCGTGCTCTTCCTCACTGAGAGTTTGCACCCACGCCAAACTTTTTTTTTTATTTGTTTTTTTTCATCATCCATATAAAAATCAACTACTTTTTTCTACCATATTTGAGTCCTGCATCCTTGTCGCCAGTTATTATATATGTAAATACAAATCAGCAGATACAGTATATTTTATGAATATTTATTAAAGGTAATTAAAAGGTAATACAAATAGTAACTGTTTATCACGATGCGAGCACTAGGCCAGTTGACAATACACTGTCTCGTCGCTTGGCAATCACTGACGTAAGGTTTTGACTGAGACATCGCGCTATCATACACGTAAAGGTTTTCCTATATAATCAATATTCAATACATTACAGCAACCACCAAAAATAAGAGTGTCCAGGCCTAGCACAGTGCTTCCTCCGTCCCACGACAGACAAGCACAAACCCAGCAGTGGTAGCTGCCTTCTACTTAGAAGAGCGCTGAAAGAGGCCAAAAAAAGGCCTATTCAGAAAGTATCTAAGGCAATAAAGGCCTTTGGTAGCAGTATAGATCCATGCAAAAACCCGTGCTGCTCTAAGTACATTTACTTATCAGCCAGGGGAAGCATCAAGCATTAAGTGGCTCTTGCAAAGACTGCAGCCTACGTAAGAGAGCTAGATACGGGTGTGTTAGTGGTGCAAATTTTCAGGGACCACAAGTCCTCTTCAGGACTCGTGAGAATCAGCACCTCTAGTAATAAAATCAAGCTTGCTCACTAATGCTATGGGAAGCGATAGTATCCCTGGTAGCTCCACCCTCAAGTAATGCTAACGCAGTTCCGGAGCGAAACAACAGCCACGCGGCATGGTAAGGTTTAGTGGATATGGGTGGTCTAGAAAAAAAATCGACCAAGTCCCACACTACGGCTGTCTCCGAGTGGCGGATAGGGGTATCCTCATAAGATATGAGGTGACGATGAACAGCTGGGGTTGCTTTCTGTGGTGGTGGTCGGGGGCGTGGATTAAGGGGCGTGAGCGGCGTTAGCGTGTATATCTGTGGCGGTGTGGACGGGGGACTCGTGCCCTGTGTCTTCATCAGTGAGGATGCTTGGGCCGGCCCTGCTTGTGCTCCTTGTTCTTGGCTTTCTGCTGCCGCCGCGGGTGGCGCTCTGATGCTTGATGCAGGCCAACAAAAAATAGCACCCGTCGTGTATAGAAGTAAGCGGCGGTTAAAACATTCTTCTCAGATACATGCATTACACACTCTCACTAAACAAACACAGGGACACTTACGGATTGTTCTGGGTTGCGTGTGGCGGAACCTTTTCCGGGCAACGTGTCAGTATTTAGCAACCAGACCTGGGAGGAACTTGCCTCTTTAGAAGAAAGTGTCGCTATGCTCAGAGTAAAGTGACAGCAAGTTGCTGATAAAGTCCAATCAGCAACGAAAGACATTATAGAGACGCTACAAATGATTAACGATAAGTACGGCAACACAGCGAACGCTGTTAAAAATGGGCTCAAAGCGGCGCTTAAGCATCTTCAAGAGGCAGAGGTGAGAAAAGGCTGTCTTACTGAAGAAAATGTGTATACCAACGCTTGGAAGTCGTCATTTTAATCCCTGCAGTGAAGGGAACAAAGGCGAGATAATTTTCGACGGCATGTACAGAAAAAAACCCTGAATACTGCCCTAAAAGAAATAGAAGGAAGTGAAAGAAACAGGAGCCCATCGGACAGCCCTGAGAAACGCCAGCAGACAATGTCTTCAAAGAAAAAGAAAACAGGCAGTGGCAAACAAGAACAAATTCCACTGAATGACAAAACAAGCCAGAAGAAAAAAGTGGACGCCACAACAACAGTAGTAGTGAAGATGGCTGAAGGACAGACCTTTGCAACGGTGCTGAAGACGATGAAGCCGAACTTTGACCCCGATATGGCTAACGTGGCAGTCCAAAGTGTTGTCACTACAAAAAAAAGGAGACATACTTATTAATGCCAAAGGTGTAGAGAATGCTACTGCATTCTCACAGCAAATTGAAAAGTCTGTAGCCGGACAGGATACTGTCAAAATGAGCAACAGAAAAGTGACATTAGAGGTCCGAGACCTGGATGCCATTGTAGAGGAAGATGAGGTCAAAGAGGCTTTCGCTAAGACTTTTGGACATCAGAGCCAGGAGCCAGAAGTTGCTCTTTTAAAGCCAAATGCCAGAGAACAGAGGCTGACTTTAATATAGGTGGACGAAGCATCTGCCAGACAAGTAGAAAAGGAAGGCAGGTTACGAGTTGGCTTTGTAAGCTGCCAAATTCGAAAAAGAATTGAAGTAACTAGATGTTATAAATGCCTGGGATATGGACACGTCTCAGGCAACTGTAAGAACGAAAACAGATCTAAGCTTTGCTTCCGGTGTGGAAGCTTAAACCACCGAAAGAAAGAGCGTCCAGGTCCAGCACGGTGCTTTCTTCGCCTAACAACGGAAAACAAGCCCGAAGCCGGCAGCGGGAGCTGCCCTTTGTTTAGAAGAGCCCTAAAAGAGGCCAGGGATAAGGCCCAAGTAGAATCAAAATAAGGCAAAAAAACCTTGAGTTGAAAGACAGGCTTATGTGGACCCACGCTGCGCTGGGTACTTTTTACCTATCAGCAAGGGAAAGCATTAAGCTTATAGTGGTGCTGGCTTAGTAGGCGGCCTACTATGAAGCGCTAGACTAGGTGCTGGTCCTTAGGGACCCCGAGTCCTGTTCAGGACTCGAGAGCATCAGCACCTCTAGCAAATGGTGGCGAGTTAGCTCGTGAATGCTGTGAGACGCGATGGTCTCCCTGGTGGCTCCACCCTGAAGTCATGCAAACGCGGTTCCGCGATGCCTCAATGCATTTACCCTCCCTCCAAAAAAAAAAAAAAAAAACTACTACTACTATTACTACTGCTACTACTACTACTTCTCCTACT